TGAAGGATCTTGCGTTAGAATTTCTAAAGGAGCACAATGAAAACAGAAGAATCCAACCTAATGTTTCCAGGAGTTTGCGAATGGAATTAAACAGAGCACAGCCTGAACAAATTGAGGACAGCAAGGAAAAGATGCCATTTATGTCCCGCTGTGAAGAACAGAAAATCTAAAACATCATGAACAAAATGTGACAAAAATGTTTGTGGTGAGCATAGCTCCATAATGTGTAATATGTATCAATAAATATATGCCAGCGTCAAGTTTGTAGCTTCATATGTAAGTATTTTTTAAGTATTAAAAGTTTAAATGCATTAATTCATTAATTTAGTTACCTTCTTTAACTATTCAATTTCTTACCGTATTCTGTTATCTTATTCACCATTATATGTGATGTAAAGATTTAACAAGATTTTTTGTAGATATTAATCCATAGTTTTCAATTATATAACTTATCTTAATTTTTATGAATCGTGGTATTAAAAATATATTACTGGTTCAATAATAAGCCGCATGAATTAAAGAAAACTGCGCACGGGCCTATTCGACCCAACGCGCGTGCTGCCGGGTTAAAAAACGTTTTAGTCAGCAATTAGTATTTTAACTAATATATATATATATATTATATCGCAATCACAAAACACATTTTAATAACATAATATTATCATGCATAGTATTTTCGCTAATTAAGCTGTTGAAAAATTATCAGTATAAACATAAAGTAAGAAATTTAGAACCAATTTTTCACAAATACCAAAAATTGAATTTCATAAGTATCTAGCGTTTTCCTTATTTTGCATAAATTTATTTTAAGTTTGATACCTGTTCTAGACTTTTCAACTTCCCCTCACATTCTCTCGCCAGGATGTAAATTTAAAGGTAAATGAAGTGCTTTTTAAAAGTGAATATCTCAGTTTATTCAGAGGGTGTTTCGCTAGCCAGGCGCACATTTTGTTCTTATTTCGCGGTCACGCTAGTAAGCCTCTTGGCCTTATCAGATTAGTATCACGCCGGTTAGGTTCCTGCGAGTCCACCTCTTAGGCGTAAACTTAAGTGCGCTCTTGCACTATATATATCAGATTTGACTTGTATTATATTCTACGTTATAATTTCCACCGCAAGTGGATGGTGTTTTTGTAACGCACGAAGTCCGTGCCTTTCTGTTAAATTAGTTTGAATTACTAAAGGGTTATTTTCACCCTTCTTTTGTGCTGGTGATTAATTCACGCCTGTGCGAGAATTCGTCAGGTTCATTGTAAGATCTAATTTAGTTTATGTGGAATAACAGAGACAGATCTTAAAGTAATAAATTTCAAATAATCCTATAAGGGGAAAAAATAATTTAAAAAATGTTAAAACCAAAATACCCCAATTAAAAAAATCAATGAAATTTAAAGAAAAAAGAACACAATAGAAGAGAAATTCAATCAACTTCAATGCCACTTCGTCAGGAGCAGAAACACTGAAATCAATGAAATCTATCTTCTCCAAAAATTCTTGCTTTTCTGTATCCAGAATTAACCAATGAACTATTTCAATGTATTTTAATTATATTAGTTCATCCGAATATTCAAGTCCCTCCCCAAAACAATGGGAAGAAAGTTTTTTTTTCTTTTTTTTTCTTTTTTTATCTTTAAATAAAGATAAATTCTATCAAAGAATTCGAGCAGACGTTTCAAAAACAGTGTAAAGGCAGAAGTGAAGTGACGCCACGATCGAATGAATATTTTTTGCACAAGTGGTGCTCAAGCGAAAAAATTATTTTAGAACAAGTAGCATTCGAAATACAAGAGTGTCACTTTGAAGAATCTTCACAAAGCACCATAAAGACTCTAGAATCCAGAAGTAGACTCGTTTAGTTTTACTGTGTCTTGCTCATAAAAAATCTGTTCAAAACGCACGGTTTTGGCAGATATGCTAAACTGTTTGATTCTTTAGGTTTTCTAGAACCTGTAATCATGCGTGCCAAGATGTTCCTGCAAAGGCTGTGGCTTTTACGTCTAGAGTGAGATGATCCACTTCCTTTCAAAGAGCGTCAAGAGTGGGAGACATTTCAAAAGGCCCTACCAGAGTTGAGAAAAATCAAAGTCCCTCGTTACGTTCTGATAGAATCAACTAAAGAAATTAAGCTCCACTGTTTTGCTGATGCTTCAAAGTTTGGATATGGTGGAGTAATTTACTTGCGTTGTGTCTCTGAAACTGGCGAAGTTAAAGTGACTTTACTTTGCAGCAAATCTCGAATATCGCCTATCAAAGCAATAACAATTCCTCGTCTGGAGTTGTGTGCAGCAGAGTTCCTTTCAAAACTTGTGTGTAAGGTAATAACATCTTTGAATTTATATTTTGACAAAGGCATTCTGTACACGGATTCAACAATTGTGTTAGCCTGGATTGCTACATCTCCTCATCTTCTAAAAATGTTTGTCAAATAGAACAATTCGTATCCAAGAACTAACTAAGGATTTCTGCTGGCAACATGTCAGAACCGCAGACAATCCTGCTGACCTAATTTCTTGTGGTCTGAGCCCGGAAATTATTGTTCACATCTCTTTATGATTTCAAGGACCAAATTTTCTGCAACAACAGGTCATTAATTATAATAGTGTTAATAATAGCTTGGAAAATTCAAATGAGAACTATGTGCGAAAACTGAAACTTATTTCTAATGTAAATTTGACAGTAACTGTTAACAATTCTCTTTTGGATTATGTTTTTAGTATTACTAACTGTTATGCTAAATTAACTAATGTTTTTGCTTATGTTTTAAGATTTATAAGAAATTATAGATCCAAAGAAAAACAAGTATGTCATTTGACAGTAGATGAGGTTTCGTTAAGCGAAAATAAATTACTTAGTCCAACATCAAAGCTTTTCTGAAGGATTCAAGGAGTTAAGTAAGAAAAAGGAAGTAGGTAAAAATAGTCAGTTAAAATTTTTAATGTCCCTTTTTAGATGAATCTCAAGTTAGTAGAGTAGGTGGTAGATTGCAGAAAGCTAACTTGCCTTTTAACACAAAGCACCCCGCTGTCTTGCCAAAAAATCATAAACTGACTCATTTAAGTCATTACACTACCATATTCGAAACTTCTATACTGGAGCACAAGCTTTCTTGCATAGTGTTAGACAAAATATTTGGCCGATAAGTGGACGTAATCTTGCTAGAAAGATAGTAAGAGAATGTGTGCCAAGGTCAAACCAGTATTGCTGGATCAAAGGATGAGAAATTTACCATTAGAGAGACTAAATCCATCGTCCATCGTTTACCTTTAACCACACTGGTATAGTCTTTTGTGGTCCTTTTGATATAAAATATACGACTCAGAAGAAGAGCGTAGTGCACAAGATTTATGTTGCAATTTTTTTTTTTTTTTTTTTTTTTTTTTTTTTTTTGCCTCTTGACTCGTGCGGTCCACCTCGAGATCCTTTCAAATTTGTCTACAGAATCATTTATTGCAGCTTTAAAACGATTTATTTCTAGAAGAGGTAAGTGTGCAACCATATTTAGCGGTAATGCTCGAAATTTTGTTGGGACTAGAGTGATATGGCAACCACGAATAGAAAACGGAACAACGTGGACAGCTAGCGGCCATTGATTGGGTGTGTGCTGGTAGTTCGAGTTGGTAAGTGTATGTATGTGGATGGCAAGAGTGTCTCTCCAAGTAAGATTATGTAAGTTCTCATGTGTTTAATATTTGTTAACAGAAGTAAAATAAAAGAAATCTACAGTCTATTAAATTCAGTGTTTGAATTTCATGAATAATTGTGTGAGTAAATTCTATTCTCGAACAAACAGGGTCCAATGAATACTGAAACATCTATTTGCAGTTATGAAATAAAGTTATTAAATCTTAAGCTTTAGAGTGATACCAAAATCATTTCTTTTTCCGCATAAAATAAAACTTATTTACCGATTTCGTGTTACTTTAGACTTAAAATCCGAAATATTTACAGTGTTTCAGTTATTGTATGCTACAGTAAACGGTGCTTAATGTGATCACGCTTGTCCAACGACATTTTGATAACATTGACCAAATGATAACTGTAATTGATGAGAAAAAGTGTTCCTCAAAATAATAATGGAATTTAACCAATTTAATATATACATATATAACTAGAAATAATTAATAGTTTTCTAATAATAAATTATATAACTAGAAACATGTAAATAGATATTTTCACAGGGTTGTAACTGAGAAAATGCATTTTATGAACTAGTCATAATGCTTTAAGGCGAATGTTTATTAATGAATTGTTCATAATTTTTTCTAGAAATTATTTAATTATTAAAAGGCTTCTGGAAAATATTCGACCGTTTCTCTTGCCTTAATATTCGGAAGGCATCTGTCACTGAAAAGGAAGTAATGTAATCTTAGAATTAAGCTTAAAAACAACCTTAGTTTGACAGAGATATTTTCAGGGGAGGCAGGAATTTGGTTCTTTAAAAGAAGAAAAACTGTGTCTAATCGCTGTTAAAATCTGTAAAGTTACTGAAAATTTACTCTAAGCGTAGGTTCAAACCTCCCCAGTTTTAAATGGTTGAATAAAATCGAAACTAAGCTGTTTGACGATTACTTACTACGGGATAGAATTTTTTTTTGGTAACTTGCCAATTTTTGTAATCTATTTTAACCTTATTTGGCGACGTTATATCACTTCAAAAATTTATTCTATAATTAGTTTCATTATATTAATCCAATTGTAAGCGAAGCATTTTCTATGTTTTCTATGCACAAACAGGCGGGACCTTTTCAATTCGATAACAATATCCAAATGCTAAGATTAACCGTGATCACATTCAGCGGCGTCAAGAATATTTACGATAAACGCTAATGCAATATTAATTTGTTATCAAACAGATGCGCAATATGGATACACCCAGATGCATGCAGAATATGATTGGGCTACGAATACGAAATGGATTAAATAACTCATTGATTAACTTAGATTCCACTGGACAAGCCATACAGTAAAATAACAAAATAAATATAAATATTTGCACTTACGCTTCCGGAAGTCTGATCCTTCCGTGCAGAGATCCGCTAAGAGCTTCTGCGCACCACTAGTCAATTGCCGGTAAATCTCCTGCTTCGATTTATCAAAACATCGGACAGTAAAATGATTCACGCATTCCATTGCATCTTGCAAATGCCTAGAAATATTTATGCGAATTAATAACTATGTAAGTAATCAAACTCAGCAGTTGCCAGTTTGGCTGTTGCTGATACCAGTATTCACAAATTAAACATTGCAAACTGTCAATATAAAAATATTCTCAGGAATGATAATATCTTCTTGTTCTTTTATGTAACGCAATCTTTTTACAACTTAGTAGTAATATAGTATCATAGTAGGCAGTTTATCAAACCTCTGGAATGCAGAGTTTAGAAATGTACCTTGCTACATTAGCTAGAATCAGTTTCGATACTTTTCTGTTAACAAGACTCGAATTACTCACAATCATCACCATTGGTGCAAAAACTTATTAGATAAAGGCTACCCTAAAGTTTGAAGAAAATAATGAATGTGTAATAATGGTAATGTATCATGTAATATAATAACGCTTAATAAGTACAATGGCAGATTTGTTCAGTTCAGTGTAGATGCAGATGAATGGGATCACCTGACTAATTGTTAACAGATACTGTCCCCACATCCACCATTAATGTTCTTCCAATGAACAGCGCAACCGTAATTTCGCTTAAAAATGGTTTTCAAATATCGGAAACTTGCAAATATTTGGCATTACCAATAGCCTACGAAACTCTCACATTAAACATTACACATCTGTTCATACGCCGTACAAACAGCCTACCACATTAAGTGCCTTGGGGCAAATTTGGCGAAGGGCTCTGCGATAATAGATAAGCACCTCAATTTCATTCCAACTTACATCCAAGTAACAGTATGTCCTTGCAAGCTCTGAGTTCACTTGATTTATTACCTTTCCAGGGATCTTCCAGTTTAAAAAATTTTCATTTACATTTTAAAAAACTAGTAAGTCTCACCTTAGTCAAGAAAATTCAGCATAGACAGCTATTAATATAGACACGCCTATATATAAATAACATATCAGCAATAGCTTTTTTGAACAAAAGAATTTTTTATTTGATTTAAAGTAGCTAATATCACAAACAAAAGAAACCCAAACCGAATGTTCAAATGCTGCAAACCTAGCCCCATGATTAAAATACCGAAAAACACCTCCAAAGTCTCTCTCTCTCTATTGTATCTCTCGCTTGTTATGCAAATACCTTCCTTTCATACAACGCTTTAAGTCGTTAAAAATAAACTTCTCAACAAGTGGTGATTTTCGACCTTTGAAGAAATATTCTCAGGATCTCGCTTCTTATCAGAGAACTAATTAAGATACATAGCGTTTCTACGCAAATGATTTTAGTATATCTTTATTTTTTAAATCCTGTGCTTTGTTATTCAAGTCTTTAATATACAAGTATATATACATATATTACGTTATATATATAAATAACTTGGATATATATGTGTATATATACACAAAGCTAGGGGACAAAAACTGCAGGGACATTCATAAAAGGTTAATATAAAGTAACTGACTGTCGTTATATAACATATATAATTAGCCATTTTCTCATACGAAAGAAAAACAGATATTTACATTGCTTTAAGGCAAAAATTACTTGTTACGGGTAGTCTAGATTGGAGAATAAATAAAATACCGTAACCTGTGTGCAGTGTTCATAGGTCACAGTGTAGAGTATGCATAGTGTCATTTTATAACATAACGTTATAAAAGGAGGACATATCTGTGATACATTTTTTGCCGAAATGGTTCGAACCGAAGGGAAAAACCATTAATTAAGAATAGAAAAACCGTTATAAAAAATCTTGTCTTAAATTATATCAAACAACATTTCAAACCTAAAATAACACTGAAAACAAGAATAATACGATGAATACGCAAATAGAAATAACGCAACTCATGTAATTTCAATTTTTTTTCAAATTGGAAAGAAGTGAATCCTATAAGACAGAAATGATGACAGCGATGTTGATGCATTGAACGGATTTACTAGAAATAGCAGAGAGAAATATGGTAAAGGATACAATTACCGACCCACTCTTTTAGATTAGTATTAGAAAGAGTTTCATTGATTGTATCGCATGTACTAGTTTCATTGCCTTCCTGAATGTCTCCAGGCGATGTTTAGCGTTTGCTCTATATGATGAGACGTTCATTATCGGAAGATATTCTCTATTGTATAATTCTTCATGGGCCATCAGAATTGCACTCCTAATTCGCAACTAAATCACATCATGCTTCAAAAGTTGAACGATCTTTTCTCAAAGTAGCAAACATCATCGTCTTATTTCTTCAATATATGATACAGTTATTAATTTAAGAGCCTGTAGTAAGCCAGAGATTCTCTTTAAACTACATTTCTGTAATAAATTTCATAATATTTGTAATATGATATATGGTGGCATATTATTATTATTATTATATAACGACATATATTAATAAATGAAGTAATTTAGTGAAATTTCTATCACATGCTTATTGGCTCACATAAAGTTATTGTTATTGTAAGCCAAACAATAGTGCATAAAATTAAAGCTTTTGAAAAATATATTCCAGATAGTGGAGCTGCGAATAATTCAAATCATACCGTAGTTACAAATTCTGATGTCTTAGTAAAAGAGTTATTTGTTTTCTCCCAAGCGCCAATCATTAAGGCTAACAATGAAACCTTAGCATATGTTTTAAAACATTGATTGACTGCTTTGGTAACTACAACTGAAGACATGGTACTGGGCAGGAAAAAAAATCCGATGAAAATATTACAGCAATTAATAAATAAATTGCCAGTTTATAACTGCACAGTACTGAAATACGTAGACTGTTTTCGTAGTTATACTAATTGAGCTCTACTAATTGAGCAATGCCATCGGCCAGAATTAAGTGTCAACATATTTACGCAGCTATCCAGTGCAAAACTATTTATTTCAATTTAGTTGTTTGACTGATACAGGCGGATTTTTAACACTGTTTTTGATGTGAAGGTAGACGTGAATAAAGCGTATTGGTGAAAGTATTTTTTCGTGTTGAACGTTTGGTTTGGTTTATGTAATTATGGCACAGCCTTGACGGCAAGTCGTTGAGTTTATTAATGAAAAATTCGTTAACATTTTGCAAAATATGAAATTGATAATAAAACAAATTCGAAATGTTTTAGGGCTCACGGGTGCCCATTTTCGGGTGAAGGACTATGTTATTCAAAATGTGATGGATTTAGGTACCGCTGTTTTTTCACAGTGCGAAAAACATGAATACATTCATACAGATTCTTCATTATTTAATTTCTCTAAATATAATAGAGGGCGATAATATTTGGTGGCAACAATCTGAAGAGTGATACGCGGGTTATAGGGCTTCAACGAAGAATGTTGTTTCGAGACTAATACTCCATTCGGGACTGACGTCGATGTGTTCAGATTAACCATGTCGTTAATAGGTGCATTGAGGCGGAAGAAATGATCGGTGATATACAGTGACTTATCCCAACAAAAGATTTTGTTGAAAGAAGTGTATTCAATTAAATACGGATTATGCTGAAAAACTACATTGTGATACTAATGAAAGTTGATGAAGTAAAAAGATTATAACTAAGTTTCTGGAACTACTGAAATATACCTCGTATATGCGATAAAAGTGTCTTTAAATCTACATTTTTTTTACTTCCGTATCTTGAAAATGAAGCCATTTTTCAAACGAGATTCATTTTATCATGATCATAACTGCATACAGGTACCCAAGTGATTGAAAAACTGAAAGACGATGACGAAATGTAAAAAGATTGAAAAATGATCCCAGATTATAAAATTAGAGTAATTTTACAGCCAGCACTTTTATAGTCTATTCTAGCTCTTTAGACAATCATAGTGAACTGTAGATGAGCTAGTTTATGAAAGGGTATGAAGCCATTTATGTTATTGGAATACATCGTATAAATTGCCTCATAAATGCCCTATGATACTGCAAAGATAAGGCATTAACGATAATATTTTTTGACACTTAAACAGTTCCAAGATTCATTGCTTTGAGAAACAGAATTAAAACTCTGATTTTTTGTCATCGGCAGTTATCCACCAATCCTTTAAGCAAACTCAAGTTCTCTTTCTTTCTCGTCCTTCAAGTATTGACAGATGTTGTAAACATAAACAGGGTCTAAATTTAAAAAAATAGCAATCATTCAGGCAGAAGGTAAAGTCAAAATATTATACTTCAATAATAATAGCCTTAATAAATGGCTCGTGCAGATAATAAGTTCTTTTGACGGACCCCATTAGGAAGATATTATATCACCAACCCATTGGAAAAATTATATCTCGAATATATAAGTCGAATTATGAGAAAAAAAAATTTGTATAAAATTTCTTTTCTTAAATTTAAAATGAGGATTAGTATTTATTTTTACTTCCTTGTACGAAGTAAAAAGAAAGTCTGGTAATCGCGAAGAGTTTCAGGCAGCATATTTCAACTAAAATATCCATTTTGACCGCTATCGAATGCAATTTAACGATGATTTTGTGTGATACCTGTACGTAAGGACAGAATAAAATACTCTTTTCCTTCAAAAAAAAAAATTATAAAACTGCTTTAAAATTACTTCTGAAGAGAATTTTTCGTGCCGTCTGTACGAACGTATGTACGTACGTACGTGCGTGCGTACGTACGTATCTCGCATAACTCAAAAACGAGTTGCCTCAGAACGTTGAAATTTTGTATATAGGACTGCTATAACATTAAAATGTGCACCTCGTATTTTGGTTGCAATCGACCGCACACAACGTATATAAATATATTTATATATATATATCCACTCTTTTACCCGGCTCAGTAATCTCAGTTTCTTTACTCTTATATGTTTGTAAATTGTACATTTTTTGCTTTAAAAATGGTTGTATTATGTTGTTTTTATCTTCCGGTTAAGGTTTTTATGCCTTTAGTAAATCTGTATGCAATATTTTTCGAATTATCATTAATTTTAAAGTTGTCTAAGTACCGCTAAGGCTTTTCACTTCCTTGTACGAAGTAAAAAGGAAGTATTGTAATCGCGAAAAGTTTCAGGCAGCATATTCCAACGAAAATATGCATTTTGACCGCTATCG